TTTCTTGCAATTTTTTTCAAGAATTTAATTGATAGGAAAGTAACCTTGTTGTTGTAACCTTATATAGAAAAAAAATGAAATAAGCACTCAAAAAAGGGTGTAATTAGCATATTTTTACTAAAAATTAGTAAAAGCAATAGGTTACTTGATGGAGTGTCTTTTTGTTACAAACGTTTTCTTTTAAATGTGGGGTTTAACTTTTCTTTTCTATATATATCTCAATTTTGGCAATCAAAAACATTTTTTTTTCATTCTACAACGAAAGGACAAGGATGTTCGTCGTCATCTTCCATAGCAATATAATGGACGACGAGGACAAAGGTTAATGTCCTCCATGGCCATGGATGAGGACATTATATTCCATCTTCTTTCTCAACAACCATGGATTTTTCTTGATTTCCAACTCACTGAAAAATGAAAGAAGATTTGTTGAAAAATTTAAGAATTGCCAATAATTTCTTACTTTAGAAAGATGACCATAATAAAGGAAAAACAAATACAATTATTCCCACATTAATCCTAAATTAGTTAACAATTTTCACGTAAGGTTCCATATTTGTGAATTTGAAGGTCAATCTAATTTTAACCTATATAAAATAATGCTAATGATAGTTTTTTCTAAGTTCAATGATGTATTTGAAACTTTCAATTCGAAAATTCAGTGATGCAATTACACTCTCAAATAGATTAAGAGCTTATTTAATCACTTTTAAAAATTTAGAACACATTTAAGATGAAAAAAAAACAATTATCTTAAAATTTTTACGTTACATCATACTTAAATAGTTTTTTTTTTTTTTTTTTTGAAAGTTACTGGCTCTATTACATTGTAGTATCTGTTCATATACTTTCTCAACCTACTGAAACACAAAGAACCAATAACGCCTCCACTGAGGCTTGAACTCATAATCTTCCAATTGGAAGTCCAACCCGGATACCATTAGACCACGTAGTCCTGGTCCTCATACTTAAATAGTTTGATTTGTCATATATATAAAGAGTTAATTCTAGCAATGGTCCTTCGACTATTGTGATTTTCCAAAATTGGTCATCGACTTTTAATTTGAACAAAAAAGATACTTGACTTTTACATTTATTCCAGCAATGGTCCTTCCGTCAAAGATCAGTTAAGTTGGCGTTAATTAGAGGGGTATTATAGTCATTCTATCTTGGTGAATAACTTATTGGGATAGTGCTATTGACTCCAGTCCATGGCCACGGGTGTCTGCCGGCCAATCATCTCCGAACACGAAATTTGCGACGGTGAAGTTTGCGGCGTCGGTGGCGTTGATTACATGGAAACCCGGCCATGTTACCCTGGCACTAGTGTCGGATCTCGGGCCGGTGTACGATTATATTTTAAATCAATATAATTAAATAAAAATTATAGAATTTAAAGTACGATTCAATGCCAGTGATCTTGTGGTTTGGTGAGATGAGATGACACTCCCAAAGGGGTTGAGACCCAGTGAGAAAGTAGCTATGAACAGATATTATATTGTAAAAAAAAAAATGATGTAATATTTTATTTTCAAAAAAAAAAAAAAGAAGATGAACAAGTATCATCATCTTTTAAAATGTGAGGCATATGAAAAGTAATGAAATGGAATTGTACCAAACACTGCTTGGTATTCATGTATTAAACTATTAATTAATTAATTCAAAGGTGAAGACTGAAGTCCATATAACATCTTTGTGAAATTCCCTTATTATAATCGTGAGGCGACAATGAAGAATTGAACTTTTGCTTACGATCAGCCGTCCAACCAAAACACGTGAACCTACATTTTAAAGGTTAATACTTAATATTGTTGAACGAAGGTTAATTTGGAATGTCAAGTCAAGTATTCTGTTATTGAAATATGACATTGATTGTTATATAAGTGTAACAAAATAAAATTGTATCTGAGTTTAAATCTGTGATCTCCTATTTGAAAGAGTTATAAAGATTTCATTGAGCTACAAGTTACTTAAATATTATGAGGTGTTTGGATTGCTAAAACTTTTTTTTTTTTTTCAAAGAAGTAGATTTCTTAAAATTTGAGGAGAAGTCTATATATTATGTTTTGTTTGGCTCATGTAAATTTTTTTCCAATGAAATTGAATACTTTAAATATAAGAATTTTTTTTTCTTAACTCATGTTTTTTATTTTTATTTTCATGGCGGCATTTGGGAACAAATGTTCAACCTAACAAGACAAAACTGCCTTCATTTGAATTGATTATATTGAATATAGTTTGGAGAGGAAAGTTATCAAATAATGCTTACTTAAATATTACTATAATATTTTATTATTTTTATATTATTATAATACAATATATAATTATAATATTTTAATTACTTTTTATAAGTTTTATCATTCTTATTGTGTACAGACATATTGATCTTTGTACTCATTATTTCTTACCATTTCAAACCTAACAAAACAATGAAATTAATACTTTAATAATTTCTTTTTTTACCAACCAAACAACGGAACTTTTCTATTTTTTCTTGAGATTTAAATTTTATTTCTTCTCAATTATTTTTCGCCAACCAAACGGATTCTTATAGTTAGACATTCAACATGGACATGGAGTTAGAAGACTTGGACTTGGAATTATATCCAATAGCATACGAGAATGTGGTTCACGAATTCAATATAATTGGTCCACAAATTTGTCATTTTATTCTTGATTGGAATCAAATCTTGTAACTTGTAACAAAGTAAAATTCTCCATTGAATTCTTATCTTAAGGATATATGAAATTTTGTTCAAGTTATTCTAAGAATGCAAAATAAAGTATTTTAATTTTGTACACATTTTTCTCCCTTTCTGAATTGATTAATTGAGAATTTTTTTTTTGAAAGTTACTGGCCCTATACATTGTAGTATTTGTTCATATATACTTTCTCAACCTACTGAAACACAATGAACCAATAAACACCTCGACTAGGACTCGAACTCATAATCTTCCAAATGAAAGTCCAACCCGAGTACCATTAGACTACAGAGTCCTAGTGATTAATTGATCATTTAATCAAACACTATTATTCAATTGAAGAATATAGCATGTATTACCAAATATCGATGGATGACTTCGGAGTGGAAAATTTTAAACTTTTGACTTTTTTAAAAATTTCAAATTTTGATTTTTTTTGTGAAAAGTTTCTAACAAAAAAAGGAAAAAAATTTGTGTGAGACTGCCTCACGGTTTCTTGATTGTGAGACGGATTGGGTCAATATCATGTAATACTTATACTAGAAAATGTAATACTAATAAGGAATAAAATATTTATTACTTATATGGAAAAATGTAATACTTTTGAAGAAAAATATAATACAGAGTACTTTTACATTTTTATTTAAAAGTATTATATTTTTTCTCAAAACAAACATTTGCCAACATTACTTATAAAGTTATAAGGGAAAATTGATGTAAGAGTATTACATTGTTCATCAAAATTAAAGTATTACATTTTTCCTTATAAGTAATTAACAAACACTTAATTTTTAATTAGTATTATATTCTTCAGTATAAGTACTACATTTTTATATTGATCCGATTCGGTTCGAGTCATCTTACGGATAAGGATACGGTCTCATACAAATGTAACAAAAAATGAAAATTAATAACGTATTAATGGCTTAAACACTTGGTAAAAGCTTATTTGATTAGCTAGTTAGGATCTCCCATCTTTTGGAACCAAGGAGATTATACACTACACTATATCGATCTTCCATGCCCACTTTAAAGTGCAGTGGCTTAGGTCCTTTTATTTTCCTTTAATTAATATAATCTCTCATCCTTTATATAATAAAGCTATATGGTTTGGGAAATAATTAATGTTACAATTAATGCCACAACATCCTTTATTATAAAAAAAAAAAAAAAAGCACAACATTTAAAAAATAAAATAGCTATATATTATATAATCATATAAAAATATACTTTTGAAAAATAAAATAGCTATATATTATATAATCATATAAAAAATGTGTTCAATTAGAGTTTAAATTTACACATACAAAATTTAAAATTTGCTTTCCAAATATAATTATTTTGGTTAGTATTCGTATTGTGAAAATTATAATATAGATGAAATACAATTAAGAATAAATCAATATAATTATGTAAATTATCTCTATAAGTTTATTTGAATATGCACATAATTAGAGATTATATTAACCATACAAAATTATAATTATAATTATAATTTTGTATTCTATAAAAATAATAAATACTTGACCAATGGAACCTCAAAAATATTATTATATTAAATAATTTAAAATATTTTAGTTTTCTATTTTTTATTTATGTTTATAATAACATAATTTTTTTCATTGCATCGCGCGGGTGAATTACTAGTTTGTTCAAATACTAACGTAGCACACATTTAAGATAAGAAAAATAATAATTATCTTAAAATTTTTGCGTTACATCTGATGAATACATCTTACTTAAATGATTTATTTTGTCATATATAAATATATCACCACACCATTAACTAGTTATAATGTAACCGATTACGTATTTAATATACAATTAAACAAATTAAAATCAGATGATTTATTTAAAATACAATTTAATATTTAAAAAATCTGACAATTTTAAAATGTGATGCATACGAAAATTAATGAAATGGAATCGTACCAAACTTGGTGTATGTTCATTTATTTAACTATTAATTCAAAGGCAAAAATTCAATATAACATATATCATTATCCTGTGAAATTATTATGATAATAAAACGGCAATATAATGAAGAATTGAATTGAATTGAACCTTAGCTTCCAATCCAATGAAAACACGTGTACGTCTACATTCATGGTCTTACAAAACTTTGACGTGGACTACACACGAATTGAATGTGGGATCCAAGAGGGCAATTCTATTCTACTATAAATAGTTCTACCCTTTCCACCTATATTCATCACAAATTAAAGCATTCTTCTTATATATCCACATTCCACTCATCAAAAACTGCACTTCCGTTTACAAGAATTGAAGAAATTAAAATGGCCAACTTCCCAGTTATCAACATGGATAAGCTTAATGGGGTTGAGAGAGGGGAGACCATGGAGATCATCAAAGATGCATGTGAGAACTGGGGTTTCTTTGAGGTACGTATTTACTCTATACATTTGCATGCAGATACATCACCCCATATATATAGACATAGTATATGTCAAAATAATTACTCCCTCTGTCCCATTTTATGTGTCTTACTTTCCTTTTAGTTTGTCCCAAAATGTTGTCCACTTTCCAAAATTGAACATCACCATCAATCTACTTTTTTCAAATTACCCTTCTAGCTTTTGCTTTCTTTATTGTTTTTATTTCCAAAAGTGAAAAAGTGAGGGGCATAATTGGAAAGTGCATAATATTTACTTTAATTTATTAAAAAGCGTGCAAAAAGTAAATGAGACATCCAATTCGGGACGGAGGGAGTAGTATATTATGGAAAAAGACTGGCAATTACTAGCCAGCAAAGGACCCTGAGGAGTTAAATTAGCAAATCTAGGTTGTTCATAATTGACTGATCTTACTCAAATCAAGAAGGTCAACAGGTCGCTTATGATCTTAATTGTGTTATGGTTACTAAGTGGATCAACAATTTAACTAGCTTGGCTGAATTAATGTTATTGTTTGTTTTAATGTAGTTGGTGAACCATGGCATTCCGCATGAGGTAATGGACAACATAGAGAAATTGACCAAGGATCATTACAAGAAGGTGATGGAACATAGGTTTAAGGATTTGGTGGCAAGCAAGGGGTTGGAAGGTGTGCAAGCCGAGGTTACGGACATGGATTGGGAGAGCACTTTCTTCATGCGTCACCTTCCCGTTTCCAACATTTCAGAAATCCCAGATCTCGATGAACATTACAGGGAGGCAATGAGAGATTTCGCCAAAAGACTGGAGAAATTAGCCGAGGAGCTTCTGGACTTGCTCTGCGAGAATCTTGGACTGGAGAAAGGGTACTTGAAAAAGGCCTTTTATGGATCCACGGCTCCAAATTTCGGCACCAAAGTTAGCAACTATCCACCATGCCCAAAACCAGAGTTGATCAAAGGTCTCCGAGCCCACACCGACGCCGGCGGCATAATCCTCCTTTTCCAAGACGACAAAGTTAGCGGCCTCCAGCTTCTGAAAGACGGGGAATGGGTGGACGTTCCTCCCATGCGCCACTCCATCGTCATAAACCTGGGCGACCAGCTCGAGGTGATCACCAATGGTAAATATAAGAGCGTGGAACACAGAGTGATTGCGCAGAGCAATGGCGCTAGAATGTCCATTGCTTCCTTCTACAACCCAGCAAGTGATGCTGTCATCTACCCAGCACCAGCTCTGGTGGAGAAAGAGGCAGACGATGAGAAAGTTTACCCCAAATTCATGTTCGATGATTACATGAAGTTATATGCAGGTCTAAAGTTTCAGCCCAAAGAGCCAAGGTTCCAAGCCATGAAGGCCTTCCAGTTCCAGAAAGCATAGAAATATACATTAATCAATTACTTCTCTTACTTCTCATATATACAAGTGGTGGTCTCTCACATAATTAAAAACAAGTCCTCATCTAATAAAGTGTTTTATTATTACTTATTTACTTGTAATTGTTGTTGAAAATAAAAATGACAGACTCATTCTTACGTTAAAAGTTACAACTTTACTTCAAATTATTTTATAAATGAAAAATAAAATATGAATTTGTACATACTTTTGTCCCTTTTTTTCATTTTAATATATATATCATTTAATCACAAATTACTATTCTATATATTGAAGAATATATGTAGTATAGGATGAACTGAGTTGAGAATTTAACTTGTTCTTTTGGGTACGTTGTTAATGATTACTAAAATATTGTTATATCCATGATCTAAATTAAAAGAAATTATATATTATAATTAATAATTTTCATATTAAGAAAAAAAAAAAAACCCTTAAGTTAAAAGTTGATTTAATATTAAACATTCATGTGTTAATCAATTGATTTGAACTAAAGATAAGGATGAAAGGTTTATAGTTAATTATCGAAGCATATTGGATATATATGGCAACTAGGAATGACATATGACATCTAGGATTTGTTAGTTAAAAGTTAGTTATTTGTCGTGGGTTAGTTAATTACGTATAACGACAAGGCTTTTCTTTTCAGCTGAAAAAAATATTTCATATGGAAGGTTGATTTTTGAATCAAGTTAGGAGTAGAGGGCAAATATGGTTGACAACAAAAAGTACATTTTTAAAATATTAAAAATAATATTATTTATAAACTGAATGTACATTATTTAGTAGTATGGTCCACACAACTGTTATAATGATTGGAAGTACCGTACGCGGCCTTTATTTCATGAAAATTGAATCCAATAACTAGCTAATGGTCTATACACATGCACACGTACACTATGTCGAGGTTGCCACTAGTTTGGCAAATTTTAGTGTGAATCATAGTCTATGTAGTAACGTGGTCCATAAAGCAGGAGTATTATTCTATTTACACATTAGTTTCATTTTACAATATCAAAAACACTAAACTGTAGATACATCATATCTATTTCTATCCACTATAGGATACATCATATCTATTTCTATCCACAATAGGTTTATAATCTTCCTTCAATATGAGTTCATATAAAAACAAAGCTTAATGTATATAAGATTACACTATAATTCCATCATGTACTATGTTCATAATATTTGTTGTATATGATTGAGCACAAATATAAACGTTAAGAATATTCAAATATCACTATTATTTGTATAGGCTGGAGTTTTGCATTGAATATTTCTATTATATTTTAAAGCACTGCATACATTACATTTTATTTTCTAACATTACATGCAAATTATTGTCCATAGATAGCTAGATAGAAGCAAAGGGATAATGCATGCGTGTAAACATATTAATACAATATATATAATAACTCGAACATTTAAGTTCTTTATTATTGTAGGCTGCATAGTCTGATAACTCATCAATCTTACTATCCCAATGGTTTCCCATCCAGGCGATCCTGCAGCTAGAGCAGCCCAGCAGAGTCGCCATTGATTGTAGAAAACATGGACATTATTTGCTTCTTGAGGATGGGTAGACAGTGAGTGTCACTATAGTTGTACATCATCGGCACCATTCTTGCAATATTTAAGCACGCTTTCTTAAAAGATGCTGGAATCGGAGTTGGAGACAGACACTGCTTATTTAGGAGCTTTCACTGTTCTGAAACCATATTCATAACGTGTTGTTTTCCATCAGTTATTGAAACACCTTGGTTTTCTTTTACATAGTACTCTACATATGACGCATCATTTCCATCTTGCTTCTCGCCCTGACATATATTTCATTCATAAAAATTCATCATGCAATGTCAGAAACAACATTAACAATACAATATATAATTATAGGTTGCAGAAATTGAAGCATGTGCTCCATATCAACTAAAAGCCTAAGCTGATAGTTGGATTGCACATTAATGATTATATGCTCAATAGCAGATGATAGCTAGCTAGCTTTACCTGGGTCGCGTCGAGGTCATCTAAGAGGCGAAGAATTGCTCCTACTGAAGTTATAATGTCTTCAATATCTGTGGTTCCAGTGGATGCACCGTGGCCTAACAAGAAGAAGGACATAATGAGAACCATGGGGACTCCGGTAGTGATAATCCCAATCTGCAAGTACTCATCTGCCGTCGGCGAATTCCCGGTAGCAAACCACTTTGCTTCTGTTATATAAGCATCGCACAGACTTGTCCACTGTCACAATAATAGCCAGGCCGGGTGTTAGTCCAAACGTGTAAACCATTTGTTGAGTTTTAATATTATAAATAGACCAAACATTGTTCAGTATTTATACCGCTTTTTTAAGATGGTCAATGGGATTCCAACCATACTTGTCCAAAACGAAGTTGCTGATATCATTAGTTGTGTCAAATAGTACACCCAAACATATCTTCATATAATCCGGTAGTTCTTCCGCCACAGATATTTCCCATCTATAAGATTACATTATAATTTAACAAATAAATTACACTCATTTTTTAAAAGTAATTAAATATATATTTAATAAGCTATATATATAACTAAGTGTATATGAATACATAAAATATTTTCCCATTTTAAAAGTGTTTTCGCAAATAAATTGAAGTGCAAATGAAGAAAAGTGAAGAGATGAATATTATCTACCTGTTAATGGCATCTACAAATTGAATGGTTTGATCAAATGTGGCATAAACATCAATAATGTCATCAATAAGGTATACAAGGGCGATTGGCTTGGTTAGCAGTACTCTTTCTCTTGACAGGGAAGGATCAAGGGTGAGTGCCAATGTCCAGATGTACCATTTTAGCTGTTGATTTTTCGCCAACTCATCCATTAGCCTAAGCCCTTTCCACCATCTACAATTTTCATTGGTAGTTAGATTAAATGACCAAGCTAACATAGTATAGTAAATTATGCGCACTGATGTAGTAGTTCGCAGATTCTCACATAAGGCAATACATACATACATATATATAAAACCAAAATATTACCCAAAATTCAAAGTCAACTCACCCGAGAATTTGACGGAACTCTTCTTGATAAAGTGACTGGGTTGTACTATAATCCATAGTTGCCAAATTTACCAAGCTAGCTTCCCATTCATTTTCAAATCTCATATTTTCAATAATGGTTTTGGCTGTGAACCTAGGCAAGCTCTTATGATGGGGATATTGCAATGTTTTCTGAACTAAGATAGCTTGACAATCATCAAGACGGGTCATGTTTGCCATCAAAGACTCTCTACTAAACCTTGCAGCTTCTTCAAGAATATCTTCTCCTTGTATGACAAGATGAGATGCTTCGTGCAACGCCATCAACCCCTTTATATCTTTGCTTAGCTCCTCCTTAAACTTCCCTTCTTCACTTGTGAACTTGGTGAAAACATCTTTTCACGAACAAAAAAAAAAAATTGTTATGTTAAATTGGATATTAACATTATTCTTGGTATACAATATTTGTTAAGCAATAATATTGGGTGTCAACTATTACCTGAGGAGATAGAGTAACCTTCTTGCCTAAATAATCGAAAGCGAAGTGAAATATGGTGAAGATCAGCAGTTTCATCAAAAAGAAATTTAGTTTTGTGATATTGTCGATGCAAAATCGTCTCAATAAGTTCTTGGAAATGGTAGTCTATGCCCAGGCGCTGCATCACATCTATCACAGGTAGCACTAACAAACCATCTTCTTGGAATTTGTATAGCAAACGTCGCCCTTCCTCCATTGTCCCTTCACACTTGAGCTCAAACTCATCCTTGCAGAGTGATGCTTTCATCTTCTCCATTCTGAAGAAACTTTAAAGTAGCAAAATGGTTGTTTAATTTTAAAGAATAAGAAGAATACCTGGAGTATAAAGTGGATGCAGGTAGAGTGTTTGGATGAGTGGTATTGATGAAGCATACTTAGCTCAAGCCTTCTCAGCTATCTAATCTGCCTCACATCTAGAAGGACTTTTGTGTCTTTTCTCCTCTTTCCTTTTCTGTTATAACTGCCATAGCAGTTTGTATATAACAGTAGCTTCCTTTCCCTTTTCATACTAAGCTTTTGTACTCATTTTCAGATCACCAATAATGCACATCATTTTTCCTTCTCTCTGACTACTGGTTTACAATGAAGAACTATTGAGTTCTCCACATGGTATCAGAGCTTCGCCGAAGCTACGCCGCCGTCATAGCGATGAGCACCGGAAACAATCCAGCAGGAATCGGAAATACATCTCCAAACCAGAACACGACGAATCAAGGCCCGAATCTGCGAGGAGATGAGGTCGATGATCCTCTCTATCTTCACGTAACTGAGAATCCTAACATGATTCTCGTTTCTCCTCCTCTAACTGAGCTCAACTATGCTTCATGGAGCAGATCCATGAAGATAGCCTTACAAGTGAAGAACAAGTTTGGCCTAGTTGATGGCTCAGTTCCCTGTCCAGAGCAGTTAGACTCCAGATTTGCTGCCTGGACTAGATGCAACAAAATCGTTTGTTCATGGATCCTTAGATCCGTCAACTCCACCATTGCTGAGACGGTCCTTTACTATGAGAAAGCAGAAGAAATTTGGATCAAGCTCAGAGATAGATATTCACAAGCTGATCCACATAGGATAGCTGAAATACAAAATGAAATATATAGAAATACTCAAGGTAACAAGTCTATAAATGAGTATTTTACAAAGTGTAATGCTCTATGGGAGCAGATGAAGGCAATGAGGCCCCTGCCAGTGTGTGAATGTAGCCCTAGATGCTCGTGCAAGTTGATAAGCAAGATTCAGAAGGAGAAAGAAGATGATCAGGTCATCAGGTTTCTAGAAGGATTGAATGATGAGTTTGAATCCATAAAATCAGGGGTCCTAGTCATGGATCCAATCCCAACCATGGAGAAAGTTCTTAATATGGCTTTGAAAGTAGAAAGGAAAATAAACGGATCTCTCAATCAAAGGAACAATGAAGTCCTCCAAT